AATAATATACCATAAAAATATTAAAAATAAAGTTTTATCTATTTTTCGTTAGGTTTCAAAATTAATAAAAGTACAAAAATAGACTCAAATAGTTCTAGTTCACACATACATTTAAATTTGCGATAAAATTTTGAATTACATGTGAAATGTTCATAACACAGTCATAAGCTTCACAAAGTGTCACAAACTTTCTAATGTGCTCTTTAAAAGGAAAGTGTATACATTATTCTAGATGCTCACTAAAGAATTTCTTTTGAATATTTTTTTATGAGTTTTGTAGGGACAACAAATAATGAATTATATATTATACAAGCGGTAATCGTACTAATGCTTTGCATAATAATCATATGAAAAGTGTACAACTTCAAAAATTAACCTTATTTTTCGCAGAATAGTTGCAGCATTATTTACGTAATTGAGTCTACTTTTGAATTATGAAAAAAATATGAAAAAATTGAACGTATTAAAAAATAAATAGAACCTGCCAGTTGGAGTTAAATACGGAGGAAAGAAGCCATGCTTGAGTTGTAATAGGTGGCGATGGGCCGCGTCGCCGAGCTTATTGTTGGTCACAGCATCCGATCACGGAGTCCGTTGAATTAGAAGGCGGTACTATTCTGGGCCGGGCGCGGACCGTGGGCTGCGCCAGCAGCGCCGCTGGAAGTGGAATGAGGCCCGACCTTCATGGCTGAGCCCATGCCACCACCACCGCCACCGCCCACGCCACCGACGATCGAGCCCGGCTGGTCCCCTCCTGGGTAACCCGGCTCCATGTCGTAGTCCGGCTCGAGTGCTGGGTTCACTCGGCCGTTAGATTCGTCCTTGCTGCCGTAGAGCCTGCCTGGGCCGGCTGCGAGAACTGACATCTGCTCGCCCTGCAACAGTCACGTGGAGAATCGACCATGACACGTTCGTTTTTTTCAATCAAACCATGTGTCCGTAACTTATACGGCATTAAAATTATAATTAAACCCTATTTTCACCATATTGTAGGCTAATGTCTAAACAATGGAGGATTTTCAGTAATTTTGTAGTGATTAAGTTGTGATACAAAGCTTTATTTACGGTGTAAAATTGCCTGTCAACAGAATTTTTAGACATTGAGTTTGCCATTATTCACATCAGTACGGAAAACATTGAAATTAATATTTCATTTGGCCGATTATCTAAAGGGTTCCTATAAATTTGGAGAACATATTTTTTTTCTAAGTTATCTTTTTAACCTAAGTATGACCTAGGTATTTATTAAATGAAAAAACAACATTTTCTTACATAAAGCTATTTTCGTGATAGTTTTGTAGGGCTGCGATTCAAAATGTGGGTTCAAAACGGGCTTAAACTAATGTAATTGTCAATATGTCAAAGATAAAAATTTAGGGCGTCCGATAATTTTAAATTACATTTTTTTTCAACGATAATTTACATTATTCTGCGATTTACGACTGTTTTATAGCGAATAAAATAGTTTTAACGTTTTCATTTTAACAATAAATTAATACGCAATTGAAACTTTATACAAAAGAAAATATCCACTCCAAAACAGTCCGTGCTGCTGGATTTTTTTAGAACAGTTCAGTAGTAAACCTGGTCTACTAAAAAATTACTAAAACTGACCAACTGTTTCAGATTAAACATAAAAAAAATTAATTTGAATTTTTCTCATGGATTTAATTGTTCAAACGGTTTTTCGATGATAAATAATTTTTTGTAGTTGATATTTCTCCCGTAAGACTTTATTAAATTTTTTGTTGTATAACTAACAAGACAGATATTTTTTTCCAAAAAACATTTTTCAATGTGTCATTACAGGTAACATAAATGTTGCACAAGTAAGATTTAGACAAAAAAATGAACGAAATTGTATGCTTTTTTTGTAGTGTGGTATTTTTATTGAATAATATAAAAGTAAGTATAAAAGTAGTCACAATACAGCAGATTGCGCGAAACGGCATCGTGCACGATTAGTTTCAGCTACATAATTTATGAATATTATCGTTTGTGGATTACTCAACGATTAAAACGAAAAGAAAAGTTGATAAAAAGTTGGGAAAAACATGTGGTAGTTCTCCGACCGTACCATAGGTAAATGAGGTAAGTTAAACGAGGTTGGCTTGCAAGCGTGTAACATTTTTTAAAATTATTTTCACAATTTTATTAAAAGCCAATAAAAGTCATTGTCAGTTTTTTTGTTTTTTTTTTGTTTTAAAAACGTATAATGTTTTCCATAATGTGTAATGTCACATTAATTTGCCCTATAAATAGCAATAAAAATCCCTTCTTTAGTTTTGCATCATGATAATAATACGTGTTATCGCATAACTTTATTTTGTTTAGTAAATTTCGCTCTTAAATATATGAAATATTGTGCTTATCATTCGATATTTCATCCATCTTACTAGTGCGTTTTTAATGCGAAAACAACGATTTCCGTTTAAAAATTGTCAAACAGAAATGAATAATGATAGAAAAAAAAGGAGAATGCTTTTACTTAATGGAGATTGGCGCGCGCAGTGCGCCGGGAGGCGAAGCTTACTAGTCAAATGAAAGCTAGTAAGTATTCCTATTTTTTTCCTCTCTAAAAGTCAATGTTTTCAGCTCTTAAAATATAAGCAGCTTGAGATAAAAAATGCTTACTCAAAAATATCATGTCTTTATTATAAATTTCGTCATTTTCTTAAAAAATTTTAGGAATACACAAATTCATATGAAACATTTAAAATTAAACATAAAAAATTAATAATTTTAGTAAGTAAATAAAAAATTTGATATCCAATAACTGTGTCTCCAATCTATCAAACCAAATGATTGATTGCTTACCATCTATACAAGCAATCAGCCATTGGCATGGTGCTCACAATAGCAAATGTTACAGTAAGCACTAATTTATTAATATGAATACATAGAATTCCATCGATAAAATTATGTAGTTTAATAAAGTGATGGCCCAATAAAAATATGTTTAAAAAAGAGTAAAAGAATGAAATACAACAAAAGTGGAGGTCATACAAGAAAAACAAAAAAGAGAAGTAAGAAAAATTATAATCTTATTAAAAATAAATCTCAAATAACAAAACTAAAAAAATCAGTAAAATTGGTTTTACACTATCTCACTGATGAAACAATTAAAAAAACTGAGTGAGAACCGAGGTGAGAACTTAATTGAGTTGGATAATTCGTTTGCGATTGAAGAGATGCAGTTCCTGCAAAAGAAAATTCAAATCAAGAAGGAGAAGTGTGATTCCACACAATTAAAAATGTTGAAAATCAAAATGCACCCTGAAGGATTTATCTTGTATTTAATAAATTATTTTTAGAAAAAAGATTAAAAATTTTATTTACGAGTTTCAAGTAATAAATTTGTTATTATTTATCACATTCGTTAACCTTTTTTCGTTATACGGTATTTATCTAAATATATACTTTAGTTTTAATAAGTACTTGCGCCTTATCATGATTTATACAACTGTAAAATCGTTTAAGTTACTATTGTCCAAGCAGTGTTTTCCAACTTGTCCAAGTACTGCAGCATTATCCAACTTTTGGTTTTCAAGGTTGTCCAACTACTACGACAGTCAAGAATCATTGTCCAACTACTCCAATAAGTTGACATGTTTTAAAATGTACGATAACTATTATTTAAGAGCTGTTTTAAAACATTTTTTGTGTGTTATATAACCCTAAGGCATCCTAATTACAAGTTAATATTTAAAAAATATGGAAGTATTGCACATTAACTTTGAAATGTGAGCGTTAAAATTAGTTTCGAAAAATCTGTCCTAGTATTGGGCATTTTACCTTACTTGTATTTTATAAAAATATTGAATATCATGTATTTATTTTAGGTGTATTCAACAAGGGATGCAGAATGGTAAGAGTGTTATAAACAAAAAAAATTTTTTTAAGAATCTTGTATACAGTCAATGAAACTCAATTTCACAGTGCTTAAAGTAAAGAAGAAAGCTTCTTACAAGAAAGCTTACACAGAAAAACAAATTATAAAAGTCTTGTGCGCTGTTAAACCTGGAGTATCAAAAGGCGTCCAGGTTGTATGACATTCCTTGAAACACAATAATTTTTAGAATGGGTACACCCATTGTTAACATAACTCCTAATTAACTCATTTGATATGATACAAGAAAAATTACAGTTATGTTGAGAATCATACTTCAAAATATTAACTATAAATTGCATTTATGTAACTGTGATATAAAAGTAGCGTACAAGTCATCGTCATTATTTATTAAACTTATTTATTTGTGTAAAAGCATGAAAAATAAATGAGATATTTGTACTATTTTTATAAACATTTTTTTTCTATTTTTCTGTTTTAATTTAGTACTTAGAATATGGTATGTCAATCACTGTAAAAATGAGGTCAAACACAGTGCTGTATCTGTCAATGACTGTATTTCTTACAATAATCTTTTCAATATTATTTTCAATTTTTATTCAAACGAAACTCAAAAACCGTGTGTTTATATTTTTCCCAATAAACATATTCATATCATACGTTAAAATGTGAAAGATTAATCGTAATATTTTTTTTTAATTTTTTTAATTTATC